CCCGCTGGGCTCCGAGGGGGGGGGGGGGGAGGGGAGGTCGTTCTGTGGAGAGGGGGGCCCGCGGTGGCCCGGGTCGTAGCTCTGCTGCTGCGCGGCGGGGTGCGCGGGGGCTGCTCGGTCCCTGGCCATGGGGAAGGACCAGGAACTGCTGGAAGCTGCTCGCACTGGGAATGTGGCTCTGGTGGAGAAACTCCTCTCTGGGAGGAAAGGAGGGATCCTGGGCAGTGGATCTGGAGCTATTCCCTTATCCAGCTTGCTGAGGTAGGGACGTCGTTCCCCGTCAGATGCTGGGGACATTAACCTCTTCTTCCGTATCACCATCGTCGCCCTTCTCATCTTCATTTCCATTCCTGCATCCTTCATAGTAACAATAAATCGTTCACTCTCTAGCCAAGTACAACTGTGCCTGTGTTTAAAGTCACAGGCAGTCATTTTATTAATACAGTGGTACTGAATTTCTTGCCTTCACTGCGTCAGTAGGGTACTTGCTTGTTCTGTTACTAGCTGTGGTGCAGCTGGGTTAATATGCACAATGTACTTATTACTCAGCCTTCCTTTGATATTTCATCTTCAAATTGCTGCTTTTAATCACGGGTGGAAACGTTAATCACAGACAAGACATTGCACTTTGGAAATCTGTCTAAAAAGCCATCGCTTCACCCCATACCCGCACCCATAGTTGCTACCCTCATTTGCAGAAGAAGTGAGGCATGTCGTAGTAATGAGCCTACAAAACAAAGGGAATCTTCTTTTTGTGAGAGATCATTGAGGCAGAGGAGGTGTAAAACTTGTGGAGCAGGTTAGGTAAGAGCAGCATTACTTTCAAGGTACCTGGATTTAGTGGAGTGAAACTGGGATACTGGCCGTGTTGGGTGAAAGGACTTAACTTTAGTCATTAGTCGTATCTCAGGCAATCTACAGCATGGCTTTATTGCTAAGTTGCATCATGCTCTTAAGTAAGAGCATTATCACAAGCATTTATGACATTTGACAGCATTCATACAAGAGCAGGTCTGCAGCACACAGCCCAGTGCTAGTGTTGTATGCTACGCTGGGCATAGCAAAAGAGGACAAAATGAACTGAAACGCTGTTGACCTAGAACTTGAATAAATTGGGGTTTTGATTTGGTTTGGTTTGAGGTTTTTTTTTCTGGAAAGAAAGAAGAGGCCTAGAGAAATGGAAATTGCTTAAATGAAAATATATTTGTGATTCTATTGCCAGTACCTCCTTGTAAATGTATTTATATTATTTCAGTGTTCCCTGTCGGAGGAGATTTAGTGTAACTGTCCAAATGATATTTATTTAAACTCTATTATGAAGTCTTGCTATTTTAAAGCTGGGTTTAGTTCTGTAAACAACAACAGTTCAGATATTCGTAGTTCACCAAAGTTCTGTGGTGCCTCAGTTCAGTTAGTTATTGCATACTCTTTAATTACTAGCCCATTGACCAAAATCAGAACACACCACGCAATTGCTTTTTGTGCTGTACCTGAATAGGCTGCTTAGCAAGGAGTGTGCCAGATAATTGGTTGAATTTACAAGTCTCCTTAAAATGTGACACCCATTTTTTGTAAATACAGAAGTAAGTTCATTCCAGTACAATGACTAGCCATTTATAATCCAATTCTACTGCATGATTTGTGTAGTGACTTTCTTCAGAGCTAGTGCCTATGCTATGTTTTGCCCTGTTACTTTCATGTTGTGTATCATACGTTCTGTATATCCAGAGGGAGTGTATTTGCTTGTATTTTTCTGTTTTATTAAACAGCAGTGTTTAACTTTGTGTATACACAACACGTTAACCATGTGTTTTTTATATGCAGATGGGTCATGGCAGTCATTGTTTGTTTCTCAGAATGTATTTTAGGTTGTGAACTCAACTGTATTCTTTTTTTTTTTATTCTGGAAGGGCTCTTAGCTTAAAGAGAAGTAAAGCAAAGTAAAACATGTAGTGGTTTATATATGATATTTCTTTCTAATGTTAGAAATAATATCTGTGGCTTCTGTAAATGTAACTTCAGAAATTAAAAGTAAAAATTTAGCACACAGCTGCTAAAGTGTTTCTAATTTTAAAAAAGTTATCTGAGTAAATTTTAAAAGAATTCAGTAATGTATTGATGTATGAACAGTCACACTCTAACACACTATTGAATATAATGCTTTTTAGAGGGAATCCTAGTTTCATTGACTTCACTAGGAATGTTCAAAGTAGAAGCTATTATGCTTTACAGAAAGTATTTTCAAGAAAGAATTATATGTGCTAGATATTTTGACATGCTTTTTTTGGAGCAGTTGCATGATCTGACTGCCAGTGATATGGATTAAGTCCAGAATGACATGCAAGATTAAGGTTGGATCTGTCTTGGTACGGAACACATGGAAACAAAAGAAGGTACTGAAAGGGAGATATACTGACATCTTGATCCCGTTTAGGAAATCAACACTTACTGCAAATAGCAAAGTTGTAAAAGAGCCATAATTGTATAGTATAAAAGTTCGAATTTGAGATTGGGGAGATCTGAAGATTTTTTAAAGAGAAAATCAAATGAAGTAGCTTACTAGTAGAGCTATACTAGCATTTTTTGCATACAGTTTGTTAGACTAAAAACTGCTTTTGAAAGTTACAATAAAGGGAAAGCAGCAGAAAAAAATAGGGACATATTTTTCTTCTTTTTATAGAATCTTTATGAGACATTGTGTTCGATAGTAACTCCTGGTATTTCATTGATCATAGTGATTTCTCAGTTCCTAACACGGTGTCCCAGAACTGTACCTGTCCCACTGTGGTGAGAAAGATCCGTGTTGCTGTTTCTTCTTTTGGCAATACTGTTCCTAGCATTAGGTTGGAAAAGTCCAAGTGCTTCAGCATACGAATGGACTCATACTGTGCCTAATATGTTGGTCTAAGTAGTGGTACACTTTCCCCTTGGATTTCTACTAAGTGCTGGAGGCAACTCAGTTTATGTGGCTAAACTGTCCACGGCTTGGTACCTTTTTTTGTGGAAATTTGCTTTGCAGTAATTACGTACCTTGTGAATGAAATTTAATATTCATGAATTGACAAATACAAACTATCTGAGCTCTGATCTATTTACATTTTTATAACAATTTTTTTCTGACTCAGTGTATTTTCATGGTACTTGAGGGAAAAATAGGGCAAGTCTCAGTATGGTTGTTTTACAGTTGAACCTATTCATTGATGTTAATTGCAGAGTAAATTATCTAATTTTTAAAGGGCTGACTTCTAAGTCATTATATTAAATTGTGACAACAGTTCAGGAAAACAACACTGTTGTGGAAGGCTACTTAAACACACAAATAAATATATGAAGGAATTCCCGTAAGGATTTAAACATATGCTTAAAGCAGAGTATGTGTGAAGTGCTTAATTAAGAGGTCCTATGCACCCAGATATCCATAATAGATACTATGTAAGACCTTATGTCCAAATTGATTTATCTAAAGGAAAGGCAACAAATCAGTGATGTTTGACTGTGTGGAGCACATAACTTGTTTCAGTTCAGGAGAAGCATTGAAAGGCTTCGGTCAGTTTGTGCCCCCTACCTCAATCTTCATACTTTGCTCTGGAATAGAAAGATTGTGGATGGATATACTGAGGGTGAACTCCTCAGATGCAGAAGTTAGAATGAGGCATTGCAACGTACTTGTTTAACATCTTTATCAGTGATCTGGATGAGGGGATTGAGTGCTCCCTCAGTAAGTTTGCAGATGACACCAAGTTGGGCGGGAATGGTACCCCTCTGCTAGAGGGTGGGAAGGCTCTGCAGAGGGATCTGGAGAGACTGGATTGATGGGCTGAGGCCAACTGTATGAGGTTCAACAAGGCCAACTGCTGGGTCCTGCACCGGTCACAACAACCCCATGCAATGCTACAGGCCTGGGGAGGAGTGGCTGGAAAGCTGCCTGGCGGAAACAGACCTTGGGGTGTTGGTCGACAGCTGGCTGAACATGAGCCAGCAGTGTGCCCAGGTGGCCAAGAAGGCCAATGGCATCCTGGATTGTATCAGCAATAGTGTGGCCAGCAGGACTAGTGAGGTGATTGCACCCCTGTACTCAGCACTGGTGAGGCCACACTTTGTGTATTGTGTTCACTTTGGGGCTCCTCACTACAAGAAGGACATTGAATTGCTGGAGTGTCTCCAGAGCAGGGCAACGAGGCTGGTGAGGGATCTAAAGAACAAGTCTTCTGAGGAGCGGCTGAGAGAGCTGGGGCTGTTTATTCTCGAGAAGAGGAGGCTGAGGGGAGACCTTATCACTCTCTACAACTACCTGAAAGGAGGTTGTAGTGAGGCAGGTGTTGGTCTCTTCTCCCAAGTAACTAGTGATAGGACGAGAGGCAATGGCCTCAAGTTGTGTCAGAGGAGGTTTAGATTGGATATTAGGAGGTGGTTGAGTCACCATCCCTGGAGGTGTTTAAAAAACGTGTAGTAATGGCACTTTGGAATATGGTTTAGTAGGCATGGTGTTGTTGGGCAGGTGGTTGGACTTGATCTTAGAGGTCTTTTCCAACCTATGACTCTATGGTACTAAAGCAAGTATAATCCTCAGTAAACATCTGCCATAGGGTAGTTTAGTTGCTTAACTGTGGGTATTGGTTGGCGTTTTAGATGCCCATGAGTTTCTGAGGCATCTGCATGGACTGATGGACTTTTAACAAAGAACCAGGCCGTGTGGAGGTACATTTAAACTCCAGGTGGGATACACTAGGACATCTACAATTGTGTAACATGTGTGTGTAGGCTACAGTGTCCAACCCAGAACAGTAAAGCAGGGATGGGATCTGTTCTTTTACTATGCAATCAGGATATTTTAAGACACCTCAGAAAACATTCAGATTTTAGAAGACCAAACTGTAAGGCAAGTTTTGTTTGTCTATTTCTTCTGGGATTCCACTTCCTGGAATTGTCACACTTTAGTGTATTAACGATGTTTCGTATTAAAAAACAAATATTGGTTTTAGGTGTGCAATAGATTGCAAAGAGAATTTTCAGATTTTTAAATTATTTCACTGGCTTTTATATTATTCCAGTATATGAAAACTTGAGAGTGAAATCCCACAGTCCCTCTAACAGAATGTGTAGTTCAATTCCTGTATCCGAAATCCTGAAATGTACATTAAGTGTTTTAATACATAAAAAGAGTAAAGTGTTTCTAACAAACCCAGTACTTTTAATTTGCTTAATTTGATTATCTGCATTTACAGAACACATTTTTATTGACCAACCAGTTTTTCATTATT